ATGTGTGTACGGCTGTATGTAAGGTCAACCATGGACACCCATTTGGTGATCTTGGGCAAGTCACACTCTTAGCTTCAGAAGAAGGCAAAGGCAAACCCACTCTGAACAAATCTTGCCAAGATAGCCCTGTGACAAGTTCACCTTAGGTTGGGAAAGTCTTGAAGGCACACAAGAACAACAAATGTATGAATGTGTCACTGGATGAGCCAAAAAGGATTTGCACTAATACATGGCAATGGAAGTCTGACTGGAAAAATGAAGTCATGGGCATTAGAACAGTTAGACCAATTCTGAAAAAAGAAAACCATCTGAAACAAAATTATTGTATGTGATTTGTGGGCCGGTTGCATGCCACCCATTGACTGATTTGAGATTTGTCTAGACGTTTTATTTTAAAAGTGGTTTGTGAACAAAGGCTTGGGAAAATTGCTCGCATCCTGGAACTTGATTAATTTGTGTTCACTGAAATTAGCAAAAATCAGTGAATAATGCTTTAAATGTTGTCCTAAATGATCTGAAAGAATACAATATTTTGGGGGGCTGAAAGATCCAGGATATCCTGTGTACATGTCAGTCTCCTCTTCTCTATACAAGTTTTTGGTTTGAACTGCAAGAATTGTAAATGAGAGGAAGCATGTGGAACCCTCTCCTCTTCCTACTCCAGTTCCATGGCCTCCACAAAGTCAGTACTAAAGGCCAGGTGACAAATTAAATGGAGTATTGAGGCCCATGGGTTTGCTGGAGCAAGAGTGCTCGGAAACTTCATTTGCATCTATGTTGTTAACTGGTGCTGGCTACAGGGAGCAGACAAACCCCCATTGCAGCAGCTCCACTGGCTGCCAGTCTGGTACCAGGAACAATCCAAAGTGCTGGTTATGACCTTTAAAGCCCTAGATGCTTCAGGTTCAGGCTATTTGGCCGACTGCATCCCCTTGTACGAACCTGCCCGGGCCCTGAAATCCTCAGGAGATGCCCTTCTCTTGGTCCAATCTCCACCCCAATCTCAGTTGGTGGGAACGAGAGAACAGGCCTACTCTCTAAGTGGCTGCCCCTCAACTCTGGAACTCCCTGCCGAGGGAAGTCAGAATGGCCTCCTCCCTGCTGTCCTTCCAGTGGCAGGCTAAAACTCTTTTATTCAAATAGGCATTTAGAGATGAGGCTGTTTAAAATCTAGTCAGGGGATGCTATGCCTTTCAACTTTGAATATGTTTGATGGATTTCAACTGAATTTTTAAATATTGCTTGTGATTAATTCTGTTTTAATGTTTGTATATTTATATATTTAATTTTTTAAAAAATATATACAAATATACAAACATTAAGACAGAATTAAACACAACAAATATTTTAAAAATTCAGCAACAAGGGTATTTGGACCATAATAAAATAATTATTTTAAATTGGATACAAATGCTTTTATGTCAAACTGCTATGAGTCCCCTTTGGAAGATAAAGTGGGGTATGAGTATGTGTGTGTGACAGATCTTAAATGAAAAGATTACATTCTCAGCACTCACGGTGGAGCCATAGTACAAAAGAGTGACTTTTCTTAGCTCTGAGATCAACACTTTGCCTGTGTCTTCTCCCATCTTGGTTCTCATGATCTAGCCCTTTACTCTTTTCCTTTTCCAGATGGGAGCATGTTGAGAAACTTTTTCTTGATAGGACTACAATCCATTGGATGAGTAGTGCCCACATTTTTATTTATCTGCACCTGACAAAATATGTTATCTCCTTTTCAAGATATTTTGGGCAATTTTGCGGTATACTTCCACCAGACGATCACCATTAGACTGCAGTGAAAGACCTAGTGATGCTTAAAGGTCTCTTCCAGCATTACTTTGTGGCTTCTTCTGCTGGGTGCCATTCATTCAAAGGGATTTCTCTATGACTCATAGTTTTGAATATCCACTGCTGATATGGGGGTTATATTCTATTCATATCTAAGAAATATGAAAGATTACTGATATGAATAATGGAAATGTTTCCATTTCCCCCCCAAATGTATGCCAAATTCTCCCATCTATACACTCTCTCACACACAAAGAGACAAACAGAAAACTTTTCTCCACTGAAAAATTCTTGTCACACTTGTGGTGCTGGTTACCTCTATAATTGTCATTTGATTCATGTAGAGGCGGGTTTGGTGTACTTATACAAAAATACCCACATCTGGTAAAAATGTCCCAAGAAAAGATTACTGATATAACGCTTCCAAACATTTATGTCAGCTTGAATTTCAGAATTTGTCTTTTTATACCTGGTGTATTCCTCTGTACCAATAGCAGAGCACAGCAAGGAGGATGGCTTTGATAAGATCTCAATCTATCCTGCCATCCAAGTATTGCATATTTATACTGCATGTGATACTGCATTTTGTTTTTTATCAGTCACAAAGGAGGAATTACCTGTTCCTAATATCTTTTCCAAAAACTCTGGAAATGTTTCCATTGCCATAATTTAAGGAGGCAGGCAAATTCAATAGGATACATAGAGGCCTGAATTAATAATGACTTGTGTTTAACCATGGCCAATTGCACCCTTCCAGTTTGAAAGCGTGTCACTTCAAGGAACAGAGAAGAGTTTGAGATAGCTCAATATAAAGAGAGAAAGCTAAAAGGGGAAAAAATCTAGAACAACAGGCGTAACGACCCTAATCTGTTTATACTGGCAAAGGAACAAACAATTCTGTCATCTGTATTTAATTTATGGAACTAAAAATAGTTGCTTGTGATTATATTCCTGAAAAAGGGCTGCTGTGATAGATTGTCTTCTAACTTTCACAAACAAAACATTTTCTGCAGTGCCTAGTTCTACGACTCAGTGCACGTTTATAAAAACTCTAACAATATGGTTTGGGATGATATATGCCTCTAACAAACAGCTTCATAATGCAACAGTTACTCATCTTAGTTCAATTTGAGAAGTGCCACACATCCTCTGGAACTTTAAAAGCACCTTTTCCAAATCTGTGGATCCTGTTGCCATCTGGACTTTCATTTTTGCTGCATTGTTGGTTTCAGTAAAACCTGGCTTCAGGCTACAGGCCTCAATGACTAGCAGCTCAGTTTTCCTGAAAAGTGACAGAAAAGAATGTAAGAAGCTGCTTTAAACACCAATGAAAAGCCAAGTGGGAAAATGTTATTTTTACAACTAGACCTCTCAGAGCCCTCAGTGAGTATGGCCTCCCAACTCCAGGGATTTCTGGATAAAACTGATTATTTAGGTGCCTAAGAGCAATTCAGGGGGTGCTGCTTTTAATTTTTAAACTTTAAATTTATTTTAATGATTTTAAATTGGGTACTAAAACTACCAGCACATTGCTTAGAGTAAATGTATTTATAGCTATAACATTTTCAACACTACCTGAATATTGGGATTTTTTCAACACAATCCAGATTGAGCACAGGTCGGGTGTCCATTGCCACCCCCATTCTCCCAGCCTTGTTGTTGTTATCATTATTATTTTGATTATTGCCCCACTTTTCCCCCAGTGTCTTCCAACAATTAAAAGGACTTTGATAAAAATCTACAAGATACAAAGGTTAAAATACGATTAAACAATCAAAAACTAAAATCAGGTTAAAACATTTTTTAAAAAAACCAAACATCAGCACAACAATTGGTGATACCCAGCACATTGAATATGAAGTTGGTCATCAAATGCCTTTTGGAATAGAAAGTTTTTACTTGTTTGAAACAAGAAAGTAGGGAAGGTGCCAATCCAATTTCTTTGGAGCCTGGAGGCAGTCACTGAGAAGACCTTCCTCTTGTTCACACCGGATGTCCTCGTGAGAGCATAAGAAGGGCTCCAAGAATAAGCTGTTCATAAGGGAGCATTGCTGTGTGTCTTCAAGTCATTTCCAAGTGATGGTGGAGTTTCCTGGGCAAGGTGTGCTCAAAAGAGGTTGGTCTTTGCCTTCCTTGGAGTCTCAGAGATTGTGGCTTGTCCAAGGAGACCCAGTGGGATTTCATAATGGAGTTCGCATTGCTGGTTCCCAACCATTGGGCCTCCAGGTGGTTTGGACTTCAGCTCCCACAGTTCCTAACAGCAAGTAAGCTGGCTGGGATTTCTGGGAGTTGAAGTCAAAAACACCTAGAGGCCCAAAGGTTGGGAAGCACTGGTTTACATATGTACATGCAAAGAAATGCTTGGGGATGTGTGACTGTAGCCAGCATTATCCAAATACGCCAAGCATGGGCAAACTTTGGCCCTCCAGTTGTTTTGGACTTGAACTCCCAGAAGGTTTTACTGGAATTAGGAATTGTGGGAATTGAAATCCAAAAAACCTAGAAGGTCGAAGTTTGCCCATGCCTGATGTACACACTCATCCATCAAATGCTGCAAGTTGGGATTCAGTTAAGCTAAAGAAACAAGTCCAGGCATTTGATTTCCATCATAGTTTTAAAATGTCTCCAACATTATGCATGAAGAACAGAACTGATGGTTTGATTGAGAGTTTCCTAAGCAAGATGTGCTCGGAAAAGGTTGGCCTTTGCCTTCCTCGGAGGCTGAGAGAGCGTGACTTGCCCAAGGCCACCCAGTGGGTGCTAAGAACTAAGCAGGTATGGCTTCCAAAGTCCTAACCTAAGGTTCTCTTTGAGGTCCTTCAACCTGAACCAACCTGGACAGGAGAGCTTGAAAACTCATAAGCCAGCTCTTTGGCATGGTGCTTAGAAAGAGAGAGGTGCTGTGGTGGAGCTGTTGGGACAAGAGTACATGGCTATGGGGTAGGGAAGGCGAAATGACACACCAGGAGAGTGTAAGGAGGGGAGTTCGGGCTGCCTGTGCCTCCTTGGGGACCCGGCTTTGGTCGCAGTGGCCTCCCTCAGCCCGATAGGGCTCCTCCCCTTCTCCTTCCTCCTCCTCGCAGGGAGGATGCTGTGGGGCCAGGAGCTGTCCCGGGGCTGCAGTGGCCAGGAGGGAGGGAAGGAGGCAGCAGGCAGGGAAGGAAAGTGGAAAGGAAGGGAGGGAGGGCGGGAGGAAGGAAGGAAAGGAAGGAAGGAGGGCGCGCTCTCGCCATGGCCAGCTCCTCGGCCGAGCTCATCGCCTTCCTGCTGACCATCTCAGGCTGGGTGCTGGTCTCCTCCACGCTGCCCACCGACTACTGGAAGGTCTCCTCCATCGACGGGACCGTCATCACCACCGCCACTTTCTGGGCCAACCTCTGGAAGACCTGCGTGACCGACTCCACTGGCGTCTCCAACTGCAAGGACTTCCCTTCCATGCTGGCGCTGGACGGTCGGCAAAAGTCTCTCTCTCTCTTTCTCAATCTCAGTCTCTTAATCTTCCTCTCTCTCTCTCTCTCCCTCATTCCTGCACTCCGCTTCTGATCTGATCTAGGGTTTGTCTTCTTCCTTCGAAGCCCCATCAGACCCATATCCGGGAGGAGAACCTCAGTGGACAGCTCCCTCCCAAAGCTGCACCGACACTGTTGGCTTAGTGCGGTTTGGCACCCATGGCTCCATGCTCTGGAATCAATGGAAGTGCTCCTTCCCAACTCCCCTGCCAAAGAGTGTCATACATATATGTATGTTTTCATATGTGCTTTGATGGGTGAATTTTAACCATGTTGTGCCCTGCCTAGAGCCATAAAAAGATGCAGCAAACAAATGCATTATTATTATTATTATTATTATTATTATTATTATTATTATTATTATTATTATTACTATTTGATACCTAACAAGATGAGTCCACAGCAAACAAGATCATTCTGCTGGCTTTTGTATTTGGACACTTCCCAAGTGTCTAGGACTGTGTGATGTATCAGCAAATAAAGCATGCAGATCCTGGTAGGGTGGCCTTTTGCAGCTGACAGATGGTAATTTTGTCAGCGCTGATTGTTTTTAAGTCCAGGCCAAGGTCTTTAGGCACTGCACCCAGTGTGCTGATCACCACTGGAACCACCTTGACTGGCTTGTGCCAGAGTCTTTGCAGTTTGATCTTATTATTATTATTATTATTATTATTATTATTAATTCAACAGTAAGTGCTCAAAGGGACCACAAACGTGCTTTTTCTTTCACCTGCAAGCCTTCAGCTGCCTCTCTACACTGTAGTTTGGCACTGAACTGCCACTCTGGCAAGAATCAAGAAATCAAAGAGATGGCTTTATTTTGTATATATTGTTTATTGTGTTTTGTTCATGTTGTGAGCCACCCCAAGTCCTTTCGGGGAGATGGGGTGGGATAGAAATAAAGATTATTATTATATTGTTTTTATTATTATTATTATTATTAGACTAAAGATCATGTCAAACTATAGGTCCCAGGATTCCATAGCATTGAGCCATAACAGTTAAAGTGATGCCAAGTGGCATTTATTCCACAGTGTAGATGCACCAGTATTCTTCTAAGACTATGCTTAGAAAGGTTGATGATGTAAATAACAATATTTTGGGAGGAGAATACAAACCAGTTTGTTCAGCAATCCATTCCCTAAAGCCAACAATGCAGAAATGATCCCCAAATCAATCAACCCTGAGCTAAGTGTGGAAAAATTAATGAACACCCGTACTGAAGAGTTATGATATCCGATACTTTCTCTGTTTTGTATGGTTTTGCCTTTTGATCTATACATTGCTTGCTCGATTTTAGTTCGTGGTGAGAAATTTGAATTGAAGTGCATTCAGGCTGCACCTACCAAAGTCACTCAGCCAGGTCAAAATTCCCTGCATGTCTTCTCCTGATAATATTCCTATTGTGCTTCTCAGGTTCTGCTTTCTGAGTAGAAGAACTTTGTGCACTTCTTTTGTTTGCTTTTGTTTAAAACACTGCTCCATGTGCTGATCACTTTGTATGTGTAAGATAAAAAGTCTCTGGAAATGTGTCCCGATACCTTTAGACTAGATTTAGCTCTTTAGGTCTTGAAAGTATTCAAATATTTTGCCTATAAAACGGCTTCATTCTACTCCAAAAATGGTTGGGTGGTTGTTGAAAGAGATGCCGAGTCTCTTTAAATACTCATCCTAATGGGATGGATTAACAAATTGAACCCTTCTGTCTCTCCCGAAGCAAAGTGGAGAATTTGAAATGCTGCTTTCTCAGCTCATTAAATTGACAACTTTGTCAACAAGGAGTTCAGAATGTCCATGTACTGAAAGTAATCCATGCCAGTACCTCCAAGACAGAGTCCCAGGTGTATGCAGACAGAGTAGGGGGAATCAGTAAGGGAATGGCAATCAACAGCTGAAATATACCACAGATCTTCCTGTCCAGTTACCTCTTTTGCCACCCCCAACCTGTGCAAGATCTGATTTGTCAAGAGTAATTTCTCCATTTGGCCTACTCGATACTCGATGGCTACTGTTTTATCAACTGCTTGTGCGCAGCCCCATTTAGTCCCTGTTTTGGTCATTTTGGGCAAAGGCCAGTAATAATACTTGGCTGATTGCCCTCACTTACTCATTGTACTTTAGAACTAGGCAAACAAGGATAACCATTTCGCAGCTCTATCAACCTGGCTTTGCACTGGTCATATTTTGTTCAAGGTTCTGTATGAGATCAGCTTTTTGTGTGGTGATGATATATATATATATAACTCATCTGGAACTTTTGTATTCTTGCCCTACTGTAAACTATACAGGCAGTCCCCAAGTTACGAACAGGATAGGTTCTGTAGGTTTGTTCTTAAGTTGAATTTGTACGTAGGTACATTTTAAGTGTAACTCCAGTGTGTATGTGTGTATACGCACGCATACGCACATGCCCCCAGTGGCTCAGTGGGTTAAACCGCTGAGCTGCTGAACTTGCTGACCAAAAGGTTGGCATTTCGAATCCACTGCCTGCTAGATTCGCCATTCCCTCCATGTGATGGGGAAAGCGAAACAGTGGGCGATGCAGGGTGTGGGGCAATGGTTTCGCTAGGCCTGCTGTGTGGGGTAATGGTTTTGCTAGGCCTGATAGATGGCCAGTGGTGGTGTAGGTGAGGAATTGTGCCTTTAGCTACCCTCACTGTTTTTGTCCTTACCATCGCCATATGACCGCTGCTTGCCTACTGTGCCGCTTTGGCACCCAACATGCCTGCTTGCCTGCCCCTCCCTCTGGCTAGCAAGAGTGATCTATGGCCAGATTTTGCAAAAAAGATAGACATATGTGTAGCTTACTCATTCCGATTGGCATGTGTGTGTGTGTGTGTGTGTACATACACCCACACTGTTGAAGAAGGTAATTGATCTGACCTGAAATGAAGTGATATTTCCTCTAGCACAGGGGTAGGGAACCTTCGGCCCTCCAGGTGTGGTGGACTTCAACTCCCACAATTCCTTGAGGCTCGTGTAAGCCTTTGGGGCGAATGCCGAGCCTCAAGGAATTGTGGGAGTTGAAGTCCACCACACCTGGAGGGCCGAAGGTTCCCTACCCCTGCTCTAGCATCTCCTAAGGGACCAGATCAGTGATCAGTTCCTGGATTCCTTGTAAAGTACTATACAGACAGTCCCTGAGTTACAAACATCTGACTTGCAAAGTACTCCTGAGAATGGAGGTGAGATAACAGAAAGTAAGAGAAACCTACCCCCACCCCACCCCAAGAAGGGAAATTCACTCCTGGAAGATTTATTATGGAGAAAAGGGTGTTTCCACTGAAGCTTTCTCACCAATCCTTTTTTCCACAACAACCAATTTTTTCCAAAATCCAGTTATCTCAGGGGCAAATAGTGAGGTGAAATCTTCTGAACAGAGGGCCAGATAGCAAAACAAACACCACAGGGGTGCTAACCCTTCCCTGTGCTATCCAAAAACTTTGAAAATACACGTTTGCCTGGAGTTACATTTTAAAATGTACCTGTCCCAACTTATTTTATTTATTTATTTACTGCATTTCTATACCTCTTTTCTCACCCCTAGGGGGACTCAAAGCGGTGTATAGCATAATAATTGGCAAAAATTCAATGCCTCACATACTAATAAAAACAATACATTACATATCAAAAACAATAACATATAACTGTAAATTAAAATCATTAAAATTGTCAGACATGATTGTTTGCCAGTTTGTGTTACAAACAAATTCAACTTAAGAACAAACCTACAGAACCTATCTTGTTCATAAATTTGGGACTGCCTGTAATTGAGACTTCCAAAACATTAAATTCCCTAAAGCTACCAGATACCATCTCATTCTGGAAGCTAAGCAGGGTCAGCCCTGGTTAGTACTTTGATATGAGACCAAAAAATAAAAGGCGCTAAAGGCTATATTTCACAGGAAGGAAATGTAAAACTGCCTCTGAGTATTCCTTGCCTAAGAAAATCTTTTGAAATGTATGGGGTCGTCATAAGTTAACCAGTAACTTGAAGGCATATGAAAACATGAACACAGGACTTACAAACCTGCCTCATACACTATACAAACAGATATGAAACATGATGTAGTGGCTTTGTAGACAGCCTAAGTAACTTTAAAGACAGTGCCTATCTGGGGACATTTGGCCACTGATTGGCATACTTAATGATATTCTAGAGAAAAACATTAGACCATATTACTTCAGTTTTGAATTTTGTGACCATATCAGTCATGGTAACAAGATCTGGTAGTAGCCATAATCTCGGTTAGCTTTGCAAAGAAATTATGAACTTCCATGAAGATCAGCTATATCAGGAGTGACTGGCAAGTGCAGTTAAATGAAAAGATGCTGGGGTCTGTTTTCTTTAAGGTACCAGTATTCTTAGTTCTGTAACTTCAAGATAACTGAAAAGGGCCATGTCTAGCCAGCTTATAGCTGGTAGCAAACATGTAATGTCATCATGTTAAATACAACATGGCCATAAGAAGAGTAATTTTTACACAAGATAGGCTGGACAGTGTGCTATTCTTAAGGATTAAACCTACAGCAATGCATTCCCACATGTAGTGGGACAACCTTAATCATGTCTGCTATAAAGGTCAAAAAAGCAATATTTATTGGTTATGGAGATGTTTTGCATATCTAAAACTCTGAGCCATTATTTGTTTCTATAGCATTTTCTCCCAGGTGCAGGGATATTTATTTTTTTATCTGTCACTTCACAGTGGCTGCTTTAAGGTTAAAAGATCAAACTACAGTCAGGTTTCAGGCAGATTGACCCAAGGTCCCTTGCAATGTTATGATTCTCAGAGATCTTTTCTTGGCTTTAAAGACAAAATACAGAGGTCTTCACCTCATCCTTGGGGTAAAAGTACATACTCCTAGAGAAGCAAAGTCTGAGAAACAAGATCCTTTCTAAAACATGAGCCTGAGGAGGGAAGTGGGGGTCTGAAAGAAG